TGGTAAAATTGATTGCTATATATCTGACTTCTTAAGGTGCGTGGTAACTTGAAAGTCAAGCACTCCTGGTTCGTAACATTTATATAAATAACTTGTTGAAGCAATTATAGGGCTGTTGTTATTACCACAACCTCACAGATAATTCCTCCTTGTTTACTCTCATGACAGCTGCCCTCGGACAATAATGCCTCACTTAGGACTGTGTAGTTATATGGCTGGATAGCGCTTCAGGTATAACTGATGTGTCGTTAACAGTCGCATCGCATAACTCAGGCAAATGTAGTGTTTATTTCAAACAAAGCACTGTCGCAATGCACGTAAAGCATCCTGACGTTGTTATTTTCACTGAAATCTTACAAAGCCTTCCGTGAAATTCTCACAGGTCACAAAAATTAAAAGATTGTGGTAATAGTGGTATTCCAAGTACAGAACTGATTTTGGAAACTTTGGCAAATGTATGACCGTGTGAATTCCTCGAACTTCCGCTGGGATGGATGAAGCAGTAGACGCGATACGCCTTCACTGATTCGGGCTACATATCTAAGGTATTTTAATAGACATTTTCGGTCTGTAATCGCACTTAACATAGCGCAAGTTGATAGCCCGAGTAATGCAACGCAATATGCGCATCAACTGGGAGTAACGTGAGGGTCAAGAAATGGTCCTCACCACAGGCTGTGACAAGCTATGGTGAGCCAGGCTTTTTAACGGGAACGGTGTGTAACCGCACGAGTAAACCTGGGCACCTGCCTAAATCCAAATTTACTCAAGTCCTGCCCTATAGCTTAACATGTCGACTAGATCAAATGAACAGCTTTTGGCCGACAATTCAGAGATCTGGTTTCCATCGACGTTTGCCCAAGTAAAGTAGAGTTTCAAGCTGATGGATGCCTAAAATGTGAACTGCCTTTCAATGTTAGGATTAATGATAGTGGGGCCGACACGAGGTACCAAATTATATAGTTCGTATTCAAGACGGATCGGTAAAGTGCATAATACACGAGACTTGTGAGTACCTATCCAGCCTAACCCCAAAGCACATACGTACTGCAGTGACGTTGATCAGGGGTCCAAATTTCCTTTGGACGCCAAAATTAACTTTTTTCACACGAATTCCGACATCCTTTGGAGTAGCACAATATGGGCACCCGGCGAGCCACTGGTGCTTATAAGAATGAGTATACATGACCGATTAAGACCGTTTGAGGTTGTTTCTCCTGATCGAATATGTGAAGAAACAGCCACTAGACTGGCTATTACATTAGATGCTCCCAAACATGCATGAGCGTCTATCGTTTGGATAAAAACCAGAATCAACTATCTTATCAATTAAAAATTCGGCCTATCAGAAGAGCATAGGAACGTTAGCCAGGATCAGCAAACAGGATGAAAGTTGGAAAAGTCGATTGGTGAGAGTGACCTTAAAGTTGAGGATTTTTAGAGGATGTGAAACAAGAGCTGACAAACGGGGCTTTCAGATTCAGATTACTGTCTTTTAATAGTGTTCACATGTCTGGTGTGGGGTAAACAAAGGCTAGCTAAGAAAAAACACAGGCTCTCCACTACGTGCACTACGTGCTTTAATGCACCCAGTGTAGCTTCGGACGCATAATACATATAGACACCCACCGCCTAACTGTTGGCTGCTGTGCACCATGAAGGAAAAGATAACGTCACACAGTACATAGATGGTTAACAGATCAAAAATACTCCATCTACGTCTTTGTATAGAAGAAGAAGAGGGAAGGTTGCTGATCACTTCGCTGGATTGACTACTAAAAATAAACAATCACCTGAAAATTTATACAAAAAGCCTAATAATGGTTATTATTATCATATCGTGGCTAAACAGACAAATTTTGATAAACTGTAGAAAGATGTGCCGCAGATTATGCAAATTCCGGTGCCCATGGGATCAACAGGGCCGTTAAGTTTTAGAAAGTAAACGAATAAATAATGGTGGCGGGTGGCAAGATTTGTTACTAAATACGGTCGGAGAGGGAATTCATGCTCCACGATATACTGGTCAGCCTGTGAACCAATCTACGTGTCAGCAATTGCAAAACGTTTTTTATGAAATAGAGGCAAATGATACCGGATTTTTTAAGCAGCAAACTTCGAACCCAAAGGTGTATAGTTTCGGATCAAATAATAGTCTTGAACTTCTGTCCTCTTGTGCCCCATTTTTTTTTCTATTTGACACCAGAACACTCGACGAACATGAAAAACCCACATGCTAGCAAACACTTGGATTAGAAAGATTTTGTCAATGCGCTTTATACAGTTTGTTTGCCACATCTGCATAATCCGAATAAAAATTGGAGCAGCCGGGTTAGAGTAATGGCGTGTTTCCTCCTCCCAAACAATTAAGAAGAAAAAACCGCACTTGTTCGGTAAAATTTTGTTGTTTGTCATTTTGCGCTAACCACAACACTTCAGTACCCTTGTCCAGATTGGTTTGGTTATGTTCTTGGATTTTTCTTGCAGACCTCTCCGCTTAGTCGTATATCAGATGGAGGCGACCAGGGGGCGATCAGTCCATAACTCGGCAGCGAAGCGTAAAAGCCATAACCGTCTCACCACTTGTCTTACGGCTTGTCCAACGACTACTATATCTTCATTACTTCTGTTTTCTGACGGATGAGGTCATTTGAGCCAGCCTTTTCCGGCAATACTTGCCACTGTCGCCTCGTAATATAGATAATAGTTAAATAATGTCACACGCTCTCAGCGGTTTTACAAAATTCCACAAGCCCCTCAAGCTGGTCAGAGACCTTTAGTACACTGATGCAATCACCGTCCTGATTAATCAGGACTGTTGACAGCAACACAGGACTGAAAGCAAATCCAGGTGAAATGGAATTATTCACAAAGAAGCATGTATATCTAGTCTAGCCTGCTCAGTGCTCACCAGGACTCCCAAAACATTGTCAACTGCTCTAATTATTCGGACCTAGGTGTCTTCTCAAGTTTTAAGGCGCAGCAAAAAATAAATCTTTGTACTGATAATGTCAAGAAGACACTCATTGACCTGCAGGCTGTCAAGAAGAAACGCTCAGAGACTGACCTATGAATGGAATACCGTTTGTACCCCGCGACCATCCTATCCGCAGTGAAATAAGTCTATGGAACCTGGTTTCTCCGAAATGTCAGTCTTCAAAGTTTTGACGGATTTGATCACTTGTACTTAAGGGTAACTCTCACAATAAACCCGGACAAAGGAATATTCAGTGATGACGTTGAAAACCGCTGTTATTACATCCAAACCTCTCCAAGCTGGTCCATGAGCAGTAGCTGGAACCAATCCTTTACAAATCAGATGCAGAAACTTTATAAGTTGCTCTATCTCCACCGTACTGCCCATAAGACATTATCACATCGGAAGAAGATTGAAAATTTGGTTATTTACAGCTAAGATTGACTCCCAGCCACTTGGACTGAGGTGATCTACAGGATTCAACAATGGAACTGAACTTGTGTTTACTCGGAATCTGCAAACAGTTTTGCTGCATAGGGGTGCAGCGATTCGGCACTAATACTGAAGCTAACTCATCCTTTTACCATTGCCACGGACAATATATCAGTGAACAAATTTGCAAATATATGTATGTAAACATACAGAATATACAAGGTTATGCTTTCCAAAATGTATAAACTGCGCATGTGTCAAGTTAAAAGGACAATTTTGTTAGAGATGCTTTCACGAGGCTGTAGAAAATTGTAATTCTTGCTGCTGTTGATAGTACAAAACTCCAAGTACTGGAAGCTATGTTGTATTCATATTTTACTCCGAAGCTTAAGACCCTGCCTTGTTCATTTATGTCGTACATCTTGAATTGTATCTCGTTACTTGCAAGTATTCGTATTTTTCGTTAACCTTAGCCCAGTTTTTGCGAATACTCTCATAAATTGAGCATCAAGCCATTCTCAATGCCTCAATTGGAATAATTGCTTCAGTGAAAAACTTAACAAATGCTTACTTAATGGGGTTTTATGGACAAATCTAGCTATAAAGTTCAGAATGGAGGGAAGTACCTAACTTGCTCTAACAAAGAGAAGAATTTTATTCTTGAACTGGCTGAAACAATGATCTTCCAAAAATGCCGTCTATTAACTCTTCGCACGCGAAAGGTTGTTTTTTTACTCGGTATAGGTTTGGAAGGTCCATTGCGCCTTCTGATGCGAGATTGTCAGCTTCATGAGGACCCACTCTCTTATGGAAAAGGATCATCAACATTCGCCTGATGTAAGCAGATGGTTCAGTGTGTGATGTGAAAGTTGCCCAATGCTATGTTACCGAACAGATACCTTGAATTCTTCCTTAACAAAATTATATTCTGCAGGCAAGGTTCAACATGGTTAGAACTGGCCGTTTTCAACTGCTTAACATAAGGCTGGAAACTGCCCAAACATGACAAATTTTAGTGGTCATCCATGTGGGAAATCAAACACCAAATCTAGGTATTGCATTGGATCACCTAGTGCACCAACAGACCTGCGCACACAATAGGAGTTAGAGGAACCATGTGGAGTAGGATCCACCGCAGTTGGAGTATATTAGTCGAAAGGACATACCTTATGCGAAATGTCAAAACGGTGGCCTGCATTTGGAGGAAACAAACAGAGTAGAAGTAACGTTTGCTATATATGACAGTCGATCCATCAAAAATGGCGCCGAAAATAGTATACGATCATAAAGGCGAAATAAAATTGCTCATTTCCAATGCCACCCAATCTATAATCCTCGTGATTGTGACTCGTAGTTAAGAATGCTGCAATGTCCAGCATCTTGATGGGAAAATCTTCAGTAGCAACATGAGTCTAGCTTAGTACTTGTTATTGTTTTCTCAAAAATACCTTAAAAATACAGTTTACTACAGTTCGCCAGTATACATATTTGATGTATGTATTCACACGCAATGACAACAAGTTTTCCGCACTTTTAGCTCCCGTCTGAAAAAAATTAAACCGCCACCCTAAACTGAACTTCAGTAGTATAAATGACAGCAATTGAAGTTGAACCGACCATTCTCAGAACTTATGAGATTAACAAGCGGCTCGGAAAAGGGGTAAGCTGACATGCCACACCTCATAGATGTTTCTTTTCAGGCTTACGGAATCGTTTGGAGGGCTAAAAATAAGAAGACCGGTTCAACGGTGGCGTTGAAGAAAATATTTGACGCGTTCAGGAACCAAATAGATGCTCAGGTAATTCTTCCTTCTCTGTTCAAACTCAGATCACATTTGCCTTTTAGAGAACGTTTCGGGAAATAACATTTCTTCAAGCGTTTTCCGGTCATCCAAACATTATCAGGCTCTTGAATGTAATCAAGGCTGAGAACGATCGAGATATTTATCTAGTGTTTGAATTTATGGGTAAGAACTCTAAAACAATTCAGCTGACCGAAAATTAGAGACAGACCTACACAACTGCATCAAGAAGGGAAATATTCTCAAGGAAATCCATAAGACGTACATTTTTTATCAGCTGCTCCGAGCTGTGAAATTCATCCATTCGGCAAATGTAATCCACCGCGACCTCAAAGTAAGATTCTGGTTGAAATTACCGCGAATATCATTGAGCTTACAACTCATCCAAAGACACTTAAATGTTTATTCAAATCCTTTTGACAGACCACCACCCATTGCGGGCTACGTAGTCACTGGTCAAGATTAGAATTGTGGCACTTCTTTCTGTTACAAAGACAATTTTTTCTACATCAAGAATGACGCGTATTGGATGGTTTGACCTTTTGGATGATACTTCAGCACTCAAGATAGCTTCATCAGTAGGTAATAGCGTCTACGTTTATGAAGGTCAACTTAAAATAAACGTGGAAGATAGAATCTTGAGTGATAGCCGTGGCTCATAAAATTAGGCGCATATATGCAGCCACAGACATCATGGTTCGATTTGACCGATGATCAAGTTTGAAAATAATTCCTGATTTACCTACCCATTGACAGCTCTCTGGGGAAACTCATAGTTTCGAAGCGTGATTAGCGATCATTCTGTTAACTCCTTTTAAACACCAACGTTTCAAAATTCTGGTTTCACAACAATTCTGGTTTCCTAACAAATCAGAATGGTCAGAAGACGGTTAGTAAGTTAAAAATCCTGCCATTCGGCCATTTATAAACCCTTTGATGTGTAAAGTCCAGCCACTGTTCTTAATTTTCCTTCTCCGGCTCACCGAAACGTCTTAGTGTTATAAGGATACAGACCATTTGGTTCAGCTTCCTTTCTAAAGTGCGCCAAAGTAAGGGATACTTCCAGTTGAATAGTTTCATACTAAGGGTTAGATACACTATTTGGTGTACTCGATGAAGCTAAGTGAACGAGAAATTTATCGTTGTCGGGTAAATTGTTCGGCTTGTTTTTCGGTGTTCGTTATTTCATTTTTATCCCATCCGTTTTAATATAACACAGAATGCAGAATGTGAATTTTGTACCCTATTTGAATAGCGGAGACACTAAAGTCGCTGTGAGAAATTTTCATTTTTTATTACCATTAGACTTATGCCGGATTCGAAAAACACCCTTATTCTAAGCGATGTTGTAAGACACCGCATGAGTGGTATTCGAGGAGAAGAGCCTGTTACCGTGGTAGGCATGTGTATCTCACTCTAAATTTAATGACAAACAATTCAAACAGAACCAGATGACAAGATCAAGTTTTTATTTCATACTGTTGTGTGTAGCTGCTGAGTTTCTGAAACGGACCATAGGAGTAAGAGTTCCGCACTGAACCAAGTGAATTCTGGTGTGTCTCTAAACATCAGGATAACATGACTTAGAGAGATTTCCATAGAGTTGGCCATCTAGTGGCTTGCTTTTACTGTAAGCGTCTGTGATTAAATTATAATGCAGGTATGTTAGTTTTACAGAAAATCATGTCTTTTATTCATTTCCTCCCGGTCGATTCTAAATTCATATCCAGAGTGGGAGACATCAAGGTAACCAAAAATGATCGATTCATTTTAGTACCCTGAGAGAGCAGCTTTCCAGTTTTTACTGATCTGTTCATTCAAAACGCAGTTATTGCACAACATCCTTCAGCTTAAAACAAGTCATTTCTCACGACTGTTGAGCCAATGCCTCAGTATCCTTATAGAAGAAAGCTTTGTTTTCTTTAGGGCAACCCAGTTTCACCATCATCATCATCATCATCACCATCATCATCATCATCATCATCATCATCGACAGCATGACATCAGTGTTCAACACCGATGGTTCACTGCCGTACAGCCATGATTTATTTGAAAGCCTTATTGTAGAGAAAAGAGTAAAGGTGGACAGGGAAGGGACTTAGTGCCAGCTTACCACAATCATTCCGAGATGCCTACACCTCCCAGTTTATAGTGCTCTGAGCCCAGAGTGCACACATGAAGTTGCACAGCTGAATGATTTTTTTAGCAGTTTGTACTACATCTCACTGCCAGTAGCATAAACTTTATGCCTGCAATTGGTCTACTGGTTGTAGATCAGGCGGGGGAAGACGATTATCATCGAGTGTCGCGTATTATTCTACCATACTGTCAGTCTCTCTCCATCCTATTTGTCTGTTTTGATGCATTAACAACTTATGTTAAAGAAATTCTTCCTTTTGTGAAAATTCCTTGCTCAGCCTTCCAACGTCCTTCTGGATTCAGACTGCCACGTCAAACTTTGCGACTTTGGACTTACTAGGTCATTGTCTAGTCCGTCTACTGGAAGTGGCTTTTCTGTGGAGTCAGTTGCTGATGCAGACTTGGACGGAGGGGATCCAGAATTAACAGAATATGTCGCCACACGCTGGTATCGTGCACCGGAAATACTGCTTGCTTCAAACAGATATACTAAATTTGTTGATATGTGGAGCTTGGGTTGCATATTGGCAGAAATGCTGATTGGGAAACCAGTATTTCCGGGGACTTCAACGATAAACCAGATCGAGCGGATCATCTCCGTCGTTCCAAGGCCTAATAGACAAGGTAGGTTGTAGCAACCTGAATTCAGTAAGTCTTTGTGAATATGCAAAATAGAACTGTGCCGAAAGTAAAAGAGTAAGTTTATACTAAACTATCCCTTACAGCGTTAGCTAGCTCCTTTATTTTAAGCGACCTTTTGCTTGCTTTTTCAGGTTCGCATTTTTGCCGTAGAAACTGATCGTCCTCGCGCAAAGGTTTCCTTTAACCACAGTATTCACCCACGACTTTAGTCCAGTTGTTGATATCACCAGATTGCCTCGTTTGTCCTTTCAGATATTCTGGCCCTGCACTCCGATTATGGAATGTCAGTCTTAGAAGAAGCTCTTCGAAAGTATGTCGGACCCTTATCATTTATTTACGTCTTAATGTGTCTCTTATCCAACCATTTACTTTCATTCGGACTCCCCATGTCCTAATGTAAAATGATTATTATGCTGGTTTGGCTCTCGCCAAAAATTTCTGTTGATAAAGGTGTTCCTCGGAAATAATAAGCAGTAAGGCATCAAATAATCCAAGACTAACCTCTAACGGATCTACTCGCATACACCGTGAACTATCTGTCATTTGATGAGCGATAATAATGCATACTGAATAGATTCATAATGCTGTCTTTGGGATTCAAAAATTCATGTTTTTGATCGTTTGTGGATGCTTTTCTTAGCTCATCTCGTTTTGTTCTCTGTTTTGGGACCTTCTTGAACAAACTAATCTGACTTTACGATAGTCGGGCATCTTTCTTTCCAGATTGATTTCATTTTAACTGACAATGGAGTGTAATACAGTTGATTCTGTTGTACCACTACATTAAAATTTAATTAGGGAAGGAGTCTTGACACAAACTTTTTTCCCTGGCCAGTATTTTCACTAACGCTAACTGGGAACCTGGAGAGCACTCGGATCCGTGCCTTTGCACTATGCTTCATACCACTTCCAAGATCCACCGATGGAAGTTTCACAGTTGAAGCCAATGCGGACTCCAAGTTAGCTCAATAGTAGAGAAATATCCGACTACAAACAATCTGAGTGTCATTTCTTGCTACTTAAATAACTGTGTGGTGTGTTTGGTTATTACTGTTGTTTCAGCAAACGTAACGCACAAAAGTTATCACTTAATAAGATCCTAGAAGGAGATATTGGCGTCCTACTGCATGAAAGTGGAACCAACTTTTGTCGAAAGCCGGAGATTACTAGCAACTGTTCTCTCAGGTTTCTTCAGATTGTGTAATACGCATACTAAACAAATTCTAAAACGCTGATTCTTTGGAATTATCCCTGATTCTGGTCATTAATGAAAGACAAGCACCGTTTTTACCGTAAACAGCAGTACAGAAGATGGCTGTCGACTGATGGCTTAGAATAAACTACAGCTATCTGTTTTAATGGAGGCAAATAGCCAGATCTTCATTTTATCCTGTGACTCATGCTTCCACATAGGTCCTAAAATACCCTACCGAAACTTTCAAGGCTATCAGGGAAGCAGTCAAACAGATTGCGTTCTATTTTCTATATTATCAGTTCCCTGCTGCTCAGAATGGCGAAGAACTCCTTTTACAGAGATTTGATGTTTGACTGCTTACACGGGCACTTAGACCATAAATTTGTCTAATTTGTAGGTTTTCTTGTTATGGCTTAACACTGCGTTTTATTCGCAGCCAATTTGTTTATTCAACGCTTCACTCGTCCTACTGATGTCATATGCAGTAGTGTGAAGCATAAGTAGTATTTTTATCGGAATCCCATTCCATTTGGACAGATTAAATCAGCAAACCTTTAAAAATCTTTCTAGACCAAGCAGCACGTTGGACTCCCTATTTCCGGAAACTGTCGAACGTAATGCAGTCGAAATGGCAAAACATCTGCTCCAGTTAAATCCATCAAAACGACTAACAGTCGAGAAGGCTTTGGATCATCCATATGTACAGAGGTCAGTTAACTTGTTTGAGGTGAATTCATCTTGCTGTAAAGCTAACACATAATTGCAAGGAGTTCACTCTTTCATACTACTTTGCCAAGTACCAGCCATAGGGCATGTGGATGGTCTAAATTAGGTATCGACAGCGGAACTGCTTGTTTTTTTATCTGTCGACAAGAGTACTCGCAGGAACAAGTTAAATACGGCTTTTTCAATTATCCTCCATTCACCCATGTAAGGTTTATTTGAATAGACATCTGGCTCTCCAACCATTGTTGCCTTGGTGAACTCTTGTGTATACAATGCTCCCCTTATCCATTTGTAACAGCTACCCTCTAACATATAGCTGCGCATGGCACTCGAGATTTCTGAGACTTTTGTTTCACCACTGGACAGCTACCTCTCGAGTGTAGCCTGATTTCCTAAATATCGTGAGACATTGGGAACTGTGATTAAGAACAGAGAAAGTGGTATAAAATGGAAGAAAACACCTGTCATACTCTCTTGGTCGGCAGTGTGGCAGGTGATAGACATTTGACTGTGAAGCACCAAATAACATTACTGGACATCGAACTACGGATTACTTTTGCTATTTGGAACCATGTGCACCAATATTTGCGATGCCTTCTCCGTCGGCTGTCGCCTCGAGCTGTCATCGCACACAATAAAAACAATAAGAAATTTACGACTGGGACAAATAGACCGAGGGTGCTCTAAGTTGAAGATGTACGTTTTCAAAGTTTGGTATCGGTAGTTTGTAAATAAAGGGACCAAGGACTCCGCACGCATTCATATTGAGACAAGTATCCTCAACAGAGGACAATGGTAATCTCTACACAAGGCCTTGATTGCACTTATTCGGCGAGACGGAGTGGATTCCTTGGAATTTCGGGGCATTGCTCAACAAGTTCTACTGACAAGCTTATTCGATGGGACTTGTAAAGACAAACTTTTAAAGCCCAGCTGCTACAATCACTATCAACAGGTCCGTTCCTGTCTGAAAGGGCCACCTTGATTGTTCAATCACAAACTGAGATTTCGAAGTAAATACATTTCCAAAGGGTAGACTTCTGGAATTGTTGATATAATCTGTGAATAAAACACAGAAATACCTTTCTATGTTTACTTTTGTGTCCGAGTATCTTACAGTTTAGACCGTAGTTGATGCACAAGTTCCAAATTATTTTCGGATTTTGTAAACCCGTGGGGTTCTGTAAGAAAACAGTAGTGCACCCAAATCATCGCACTAAGAAAATCTTCCAATATAACTGCTACAGATGACCGGAGTTCCTGCCTCAGTCCCACCTAATATGTCGATAAAAGCATAAATGCTTCAAGATTCATTACTCCGTTCAACCCCGAGAGCACTAAGTTCTGGAGTGCCGTAGGCTTTCAGAAGGGGTGTGATATGGAGAGCATACAGTGACAGTGTATGCACTGCTTCATCCCTATATCGCACATCTGATTACACACCGATGAATGCCCTCGAAAAAACATGGTGCAAGCTTTTGGATGGAGTTTCGAAAAAAGTCTTTTGGATTTTGATGGTGAAACTGTTCCTAACCGGCTTCACCAGTCGTTGCTACCTAGACAACCAGCGAGAGGCTTTAATAAAAGTCCCTGACTAACGTCAACAAAAGTATCTGCACAATGCTACAGTGACAAGCTGATAACTTTGGTAGTCGTTTTCGGCGCTGACGAGATCGAATGCGTAATATACTATGAGTAAACACGTTGTCCAAGTAACTTACCTGAACATGGCTTCTTCGTTCACCACACTCAACTTCTTACATGCTCGTCTGTTGCTTCTTGTCAGTCGTTCAATTAGCATTTACCATCAGTCGAGTAGAATTTATTTGCCCGCAGATCTGTGTCACCCGTTCAATTGCTGCTTCGTATGCATGAAGGAGGCACCAACACGAAATATATTCATCTGTATGAGGCAGGTTGCACTGGATACCGGTCAACTTCCAGGTTGATACGTAGCAGCCTTAGTAGCCACATCGGTAGCAGCATGACTAGAACCGAGTTGTTACGAAATAACTGTTATCTCGTCCGACTAAACTAACCTGGGAAAAACATCACGACCCACATCAAAGTGACTGTTTATGCCGTGGGTCATATGCTTTGAGCTTGTTCTCAAAACAGACTTTTGTTTCCACTGGTCTATGATGTTCAAAGAAATAACCGCACCTAGGTTAGGCTTCTTGTTTTCCAAGCGGGGAGTAAATCGGATGAGATAAATTATTATTTCAATGCCATCGTAGCCCGCACCTCTCGTTCCTTCCCAAACAGGTTTCGCGACCGCCAAAGTGAGCTCGTAATGGATCATCCTGTGACACCCCCACTAAATGACAACCAGCAGTTGAGCGTGTCAGACTATCGAACAAAGCTATATGAGGTGAGTCACATTAAATTCGGTTACGATCGATCTAACACGTTTTCAGATTATTTTGGAAAAAAGGGCCCAGCGAAAAATTCGTCGGCTCCTCCGTTCGGCTCAAGAAACAGAAAGTCGCCAGAAAACTGAAAGCTCGGTTAGTTTTGATCTTTGTATATGTGTACATAAACCAAGCTCTATATTTGGACGGACCTGTAAAAAACCGGAATGACCTGCAAAACTATGGAAAACCTCTAGAACTCTTCATAACAACCCCTTTTTAAGCTATTTTCGCTGATCCGAAGAACACACTAGGCATAAGGTTGCCAAATACTCTCTGACAGTCCAAGACTGATTCTAGCATTTCTGAAGATTGTCGGTTTGGCGTAGTCCACGGCTTTCCATCAATCGCATATTCAAATTGAGCACTAAGGTATACAAGGTATACTAATTGACGAACAAACTGCGAAGGGACTCAAGTTGGTTTATGATGTTCTTCAACCAAATGTACTGCACATAAGATTGATGGAGCCTGGGCATTTAGGCTTACCTGATGAGCCTCAAAAAGGTCAAAACTGGTCTTGAGATGTTTGATTGGTTTTCAGCAATCTCATGAATAGTGTGATGTCTCAAAATATGTGTATGTTGCCTGCCACTGCTGATAGCTCGTCCTTTTACCACAATCGGTTTGATGGACAACTTTCGCTTAAAAATACATGATAACACTCACCGTCTCATTTTCCTGTGACTGCCAGTCGCTTTAACGGTTCATGGGTCTAAGCAAGGCGCAGCACTTAAAACTGGATAATGGTCCGAAAATTGTAGCCTGAGGCAATATGTCAAGCATCCGTGCCATGGCGCCATATACACCACAGTTTATCAAAACCCGCAACCAAGTCCCAGTTGGATTCTTTCTGTAGTGGCCATACCGTAAGAGGTTGAGGTAAGGGGGAAAGGTGGTTTCTGAATGCTTTAAAAACGCCCCCCAATTGGATACGGTAGCTCAGACCGCTTACATGATCCTTGCTTGTTGTCCTGGCCCAGATAGAAAACTTAGTTGCATACTTTTTCTAAAATATATGCTAGCTGCTGTTTATTACCAACATCCAATGGTTAGTAGTCGCATGGCACCGGAATCATCGCTCACTTTCCAGTGTTGCTAAAACTCTTCCGCAGAAGTGTTCTTCAGTTTCGGCAAAATGGACGCATCAATCCTCCTGACTGATGCCTATTCTCTGCGCCGTTCTGTGAGAACCACCTCACTAGTCACAGTGGTTTGCTCCGCGACAGTCTGAGCGCCTCAGATATTTCACCTTTGTCCAGGCAATGAAGCTGAGTATGTGGAAAGAGCTCTCTCGTTTATGCGTGAAACGATAATAGAGGTCAGAGATTTGATAAAATATACGTCTTTATTTTCCTTGCAGCAGGGAAAATCATTGAAGCATTCTGGGCCAACATTCGACGAAGGTACTCAGACTACACCCGAATGTACGTTTGTTCTTCTTATTCAACTAGCATTTGAGTGAGAATAACGTAGTCTAGTTGACGAATTTTTTTGTTGGTGGGGTTGACCAGCTGGCCTTTCTGTAAGTGAATGATAGGACAGAATGGATCATTTCCGCAGTCTGTTGTGGCGCAGTGTATCTGACGTAAGTGTTGGCAGAGCCGTTTCAAGTATGCGACCAACCACCTGCCGGTAGCACAAAATTTTAGTCTTTCCTAGTGGGTGTTGACTGCTGGAATAGTACACGAAATGAATTTATTCCGCAAGTGATAGATTCACTTGGGCCTCCCGTGAAAACCAAAAGAGTATGCAAATTAGTGTATTTCTCCAATTAGAAAGGCCCCCATGCACGCTTCCGATCAGTCAGCGCGCCAAAATACTTTAAAGTTGCCTTCTAAAACAGCAGTCTGCGTTCACACCCTTTTACACGCTAAGATTCTTGGCCCTTTATTAGGACATCCTGAAAAAATTCGAAAGGTGACTAGATGGAAGTATTGTGTGTAAGTCTAACTATAATGATCACGCGGAATCAAGCTAAGGTGTTAAAAAGGGAGCTCAACAGCTTGTACGTAACCCGAAATGCTGCACATCTCTGAGGACACCTTAAGACTCCTTTGGGTCTGAGTGAAACCCTAAGTTTGCTGTAGATACGTGTTTTTATGTATACCGGGATGCTTAAAAAGTAGCGTCACCAGGCCGAAAAATCACTGTGACCTCCCGGCTACACACAGATAAATGTGAGTACGGAACGCTCGCTTTTGCTAGCAGATCACGTCACCTCAAGAAAACTAAATTGCTTCGGTTAGCTGTGTCTAGTGACGATTTCGTTGCTAATGCTGTTCAGCCTTGGATGCACAATGTCTGCTGACTTGACTGTCCACCCGAAGCTGGGATTCCATGCCACAAATGCCAGCGCCATCTTTGAAAAACTAGCGAAAAGAGTATGAAGCAACTGGAGTCTAAGTCTGGAGACTAGGCTGCATGTCTGCAAGACAGGAGTTCCATCTGCCTTCCTGTACAGCATGTATCGGAGCAGACCCCAGTCTTGAGCGACTTTCGTATCCACTAGCTGAGGCAGATACTTGTTGCTCGTCCGACTAAAAGAGGTCCTTCGAAGAGCGCCCTGCTGTGTTCCAGCCGTTTACGGTGGATGGTGAGTTTTTTCTAAATCCGGCGGAACAGAATTCCCAAGTAGCTTCTGCGTGGCTAATTGAAAACAAAGAAACTGAACTTTGACAGCAAGTCTTCAATATTTGGACATCTTGGTCAAAAGCCTTAAATCTTCTGATGTTGATTTCGTGAAGTGGTAAGCGGAAGCGCAAAACAGGAGAACTCTAGGCTAGCAGTGCGAACTGGGGTTCATCAATTCAATTATTGGCAACTTCGAACCAAAAGTTTGAAGGCTGAAAGACACGGGGATGTTATCGGAGCTGTTTGATTTGGAAAACTGACTCGCTAGATCTGCATTTTTATGCTGATCGCACTGTACTAGTTGACCACTGGTGGACACAGTGATGCGTTGGCAAAACTTCTATGAGCAAGATAAGTTTTCCAGACCACTCCTGGTTTTCTGAAGACATGGGATAGCTAAGTCTTCAACAGCGCTATAGATGAGTTTTCATGACCGTCGCCTTACAGACCCAGAACGAAATTACCTTAGTACATCATAGTATGGTAATCCCATGATGGTGTTAGAGGTAACTTTCAATTATCATCATCGTGTGAATGGATCGAATCGAATCATGAATAACTGTAGAAAGCCCTGCGTTCGGCTTTCGACCTATTATCAATGAGACTCCGGGTCTATCCGAAATGTATGTCCACCGGTTTCAGCTGCTATGCTGTTCATCTTTGTCTCATCAAAGTTCTTCGATGTACTGGATATTTCGCAGCGTTAAGCACTGCTGGAAGTTACTTCTCTGCATAGACAAAGTTAAATAATGGCTAGCACTAATTAACCACATGTGACTACCTGAGATATATGCTTCGTGACTTGTGTGGGCTAATAACGTGCTGTTTGGATGCACTCTGGAATTCAGCTAATTCAGTTTTGTTCACTTGTATTGCCAATTATAGGCCACCAAATGCGCATGCTTATGGTTTTAGAACTGCTCCGTTCATTCAACCCCACGCTTTTATTCCCTGAAGTTTACACTGGGTACAGGGCATTTGATTGGATGCACATGCGGCCAAGCGTAAGCCGCTTGTTGCGGGGACGAGGGAGGGGTATCAACATAGCTCAGTTTCACAAGCCAATGGGAAAACACAAGCCAGCCCACCATTCCGTGCACGCTCGGGTCCTCACGCTACGACGCATATGGATGAAGATTCGTATGTATGACAATTGTTGCGCTCTGTTGTTGACTGCAATTTAAACAGCTGAATGCACTTAGTCCGGCTTAGAGCTCATTGATCGGTGCTTGTCAGATTTGTCTTGAAGGAAGACGACCAGTCGAAAATATTTGTCATCCATCATTGACTATGTTGGTTTGTCATGGTTGCTCCTTAGACAAAAAGGCATGTGATTTTTAGACCTCCTCTCAGCTGGGTTCTGGTCGAAATTCCTTTCAGAACCCGAGTTAGGGCTCAAGCTGAGAATCTATCCCGCTAGGATCCTGAAATTCAATGGTAACCTAGGGGAAACGGTCAAAAGAGGAGTATTATCCCTCTTTCGTCGGAGAAAGTCTATAATTTGTGTTCCACGTCCAGTTCAAACCGCTGTCATGGAGCGCCAAAAAATCGTTCGTTCTAGAAGATCACTACAAAGTACATCAGCTTGGACTACCACACGTTCAGCTGTAGGGTGCGCTAATCCGCTCAGGCTCCAGGCAAACACTCACACATCAACCGGACTGCATTTCTACTGAAGTCGGCAGGGCAATGAACCCGAATTAGCCCAGTCGCGATCGTAACGACGACCATGACTTGGCTGTGTCGCGTGATGATGCGACAGGCTCAGCGTGAGATCCAAGTCCAAGTGAACCAGGAAACTGACACAACTCCTTAACCCGAACCTCCATTTGAGCCTGGCTTACTGGGATTTCATTCCGTGTGGCAAACAGATGCGTGAGATCGCATGTACCTAGTGAATAGACAAGTTTGTCACGACTGATAGCTGTAATAAAATATATGTTATATGAAACGGCCGAGCAGTTATGTCTGTCATTACATCCGAGGCGAGTTTGTCTCAGGCTAATTGGTTAGCCGGTTTACCGTAATCTAATTTACCACCAGAACATTCTATTGCTCAACCGGTCCACTGCAATACCAACTTAACGCAAACCCATTGACGAGTCAAATATTGGAAAGGAATCCAGTAGGCAGCTCACAGCTAGAAGAGAACTGGAGCAGCCTATGTCCCAGTGTATTCCGTGAATTTAGATTGTCCAGTACTCTAGGTCATTATATATAATATATATATATATATATACTTTCATGGAAACCTTTTCAGCAAACTTTCCGGTAGTGTTCCATTTGTTCAAATAAGACCGTCTACCTACATATCAAAAAGGACAAGAATCGATCGTTTATCCCGAGAAAAACTAACGCGATGCTCTGCTTAACTTAGGCTAAGATACTTGCCGGGTCAGTGCGTGTGAACTCAACGAAGTTTTAGAAATTCAAGCAGCGGCGACCGAATTATGTGTAACTCTTTCGATGTCAAAATCCATATAAGCTTTCCAGCTTTGTTCAGACTGGGTTCCTTCGCCGCTAACGCCAAAGTAGGGCACATAGTACGTAATCTTCGCTTCACTAAAATACACACACGAACTAATTTGATTTGTTCGATGACGAGAGAAGTAATGTACCATTTTTCAAGATATTCTTAGGTCGGAGAACCGTTCCACAGTTTAATGTTTTGTCATAAAAAACTCAAAATAAACCAATCACTCCTGGTTTGTTTCGAACAAAACGGACTCAAAACGGACTCAAATTTTGTCAACAGAACTGTTGTCATGGTGTCGCTTCGCCAAATGCCCCACGGTAAGATCTCTTGCTTCGCAGAACTTTTACAGAGTGATTTCAGAATTCACTCTCGTTTCAATAGTCCTCAACTCATCCTGGCTTTATTCTATCGGCCAGTTCACTGGAGGAGCACTGAACTCAGTTTGCGTACAGTAGTAGTGTAAGTGCTCAGTCATGGTGAGGCAATGTTAGTATGAATTCTACGAATCCCTCAATCACCTACAAGTGATAAAAAATTGTTCAGTATGCTTCCAAACTTTTAGGATCTATGTGACTGGGTTAGTCGACCGATCCAATCAGAACGTTTGCTGGGTTGTCGTTCAAGGCTTCGGGCAGATCACCATATTGACCAAGCCCTTTCATCAGACACGGAAACCAATGCTCCGTAATGTTTTTGGTGCTGATTTATTCTCCTGGAGGAGTCAGCTTCAGTGAACTTAGTTTTCCCAAGAGACCAGCATTCTGGCAAACGTGAATAAGCCTAGCTAGATCTAATTGCCCTGACGCTTCAGACTGTGGTAACGAACTACTTCTGTATTTTGAACCAGCATCACAGTCTTGTGTGACCACCCAATGGGTATTGGTGATCAGCTGTCTGTGGAGCAATGAGGATAAACCTGACCAGACAGATCCCTGGGAGAAACCAGCTAAGTTACTCGGTCAGGAGTAGTGAAAGAACGGTCAAGTAGCAATTAAGATTTTGTCTAATTCGGTCATTTTCCGTGGCCATGGACTGTGATGAATCTCCATGCATAGCTCACAGTGTTTGGTTCTGTGAGATCGCTATTCAGTTGAAAATCAAAATGAACCTAACCGCTACCTTATAAAACGATCTACACAGGGATGCTCTTAATTTCACCTTCTTTCATGTGTATCTCCGAAAATGGACTTGCGTAACAAAGTATCCACCACGTATGGCAGTTCAAAACATGTACTCCATCGGCCAACCGAGATGAATGGTCGGGTGAATGAACATGGACACCGTGAACGAAATGAAGCGTACTATCAGAACAGTACAGGAACAAAAGCTTCGCCAGCAAGAAAACACGCGCATTTCTCTCCCATTACTCAAAGTTTCCAATCTTCTAAAAACCCTGAAAGTAGATCAAAGGTACTGAATAACGGCTTACACGAGGTAATCACGTGGTCGAACCTTTTATATTTAATTTAATTTATTGGTTGCTCCCGTTCATATAGAAGCCTCGTTATTAAGTGAGTATCCCAATTCTTCTACGCTGAAAGGGTCTACATCTCACCAAGTCTAAAGCCTAGAGGAAACTCCAAAACTATCGTCAGTCGTCATCGGTTAAAAACTGCATTGAAACATCGCAATCAAATATAGTGACTTTCGTGGTCCGGTTAGCACGTGTCAACTAGATCTGTGAAAGACACAAAGTCAGAAAGCAAAACTTGTGGCTCCTGCTTGGATGGGGAACTCATAGCATCGACGAAGTAAGCAGTAGTAGGGTGCAATCCCTGAAAGAAAACTTGGAGCTCTTAATCATGGTGATTCATGATTATGGGGCCCAAAACACGTAACAATGATCAACAAATATACTCATTTCCATATAAGTTGGATTTTTGGGGTAGACTCAGTTGAACCTCTCGTTTATGATGCTCTTCGACTGAATGTACTTCTGAAGAACATCATAAACGGAAAATTCAACGGAGTCTACCGTGAAAATTAAATAGATCTGCAATTGATCGTATTTGTCAAAATAAGTCCAATTTGGGTTCAACTAGAACATAAGGTTGACGGAAACTTGGAGACTGTGCCTAGCTGATGAGCCTCAAGAGAGACAAAACTGGTCATGGGTGCCAAAGAGTTTTCAGCAACCTTTGAGTAGTTACCTTTATGATACTTAACAATAATTCCTTTAGGGGCTATTTACTTAGGTATTTGCCTACTTGCAATTGTTTCATTCTTATTCAGTGTCCTTTACGAAAATAGTGTGCGCATTCAGTATGAGCATTTCCACAATCTGGGTGACAATGATTTTTGTTGTAAGGGTGAATTCCCGGTTAATTGGATCTATTTTGTTTTGCTGTTAACTTTTCAGACCAATAACTGTCTTCTCTAAGCTAAACAGATGGATGTGTACATAGTGGCTGTATTCCACACTTTGCCCTTGTTGTCATATTATGTGCCCGATATCTGATGGATACCGTTATTTCTTATCCCATCTTTTATCCGAACTTTGATAATGAGTACTAGTTACTCTGCTAACATGGTCAGCATAAGTGAATGGAATCCAGCAAAGTGGAATAAGTTTAAGTTGCGAGTGTATTGTCAGTCCAAAAAGTGGGATGACAACTCTAGCAAAGCACATTTCTGAATGAAACTCCCTGTTGACTGATATCAGGTTAGCGCAGCTCAGTGAAATGGAATCGTACGCAAGGTTGGTTGTTTTCGTTTACGAGTCAAATCCCCACTGCCCCTATGACTATGATGGTCAGTCGAACCAGACATTTACCGGATACTGCCCCTATGACTATGTTCAGATGGTCAGTCGAACCAGACATTTACCGGACCATGGGCTCGTGTTTTGACATCAGTGCATGGTAAACACTGTTTAGGTGGGTTGATTCCCACTCGAGAACTCTTTTTTGCTGTGCTGCGAACACAGAAAGCGTATAAACCTGTCTGTGTAATAATAAAATAGTTATGATCACACTTACCCTGATGCACTCATTTCTAGCTTACATTGGTGTGAACGACGAACCTAAGTGGAACTCTGGGAATAAGCCAATCTCAAGCGACCCAGGAAGGGTTAAACCGGTAGTGGATTGTTGAAGAGTTTTCAGCAGACTTATGAGTAGTGCACTGTGCCTGGAAAGTACAGGAGCACTTGTGGTTGTCATATATGAACATCGCCTTTTGCTAACTCACCATGACATGAACACGAGAATGTGTTGGAATATTCGTAGCTCGGGTGCATTAGTTGGTATCTGATCAGATGGCTGTTCATCTGTTCGCAAGCTTAGCAGTCGGTTTGCAAACTTTTGTCACTATTCGAGGAGACACTTAAAAGTCGATCTGTCAGCCCTTCTTGTACCGCTTTTTTCATGTGAAAGGTTCCTCAACATAATAGAGTCGGTAACCGTGATGTCGACTACGCAACCAGCAAGACAAGGCCTGTTCAATACCGATTGCGGAGCTACAGTCGTGAAATTGATAATCCTGTGATTCTTCGGTCTTTATCGGGGTTAACTATGAATCATCGCCATCTCGAAGGTCATAGAGTAACTCAATCAAGACAGGTGAGTTTTGCTCACAACTAGTAATTTTCTAAGCCACGTAACCGAATTCGTGCCTCATCAACGCAGAGCAGTAAGCAATGTTGACATTGATGGTACTCTGTTGTACAGCCACAGAAGTTAATTTTCTAAAAAACGGGAAGAATTGGACTAATTCCTGGCTTTCCACAAACATTCTGAAATGCTTACGCTTGATCAGACTATTCAGGTAAAGGTGGAGAACACTAAACGCTGACGACTGCCTTATTTTTCAACTTATCCATTCAAATGCAGGGATTCCACAGGACAATTCCAAAGAAAGTAGAATGAAGGGCAGTTGTCCGGATGGAAGTGGTTCAGCCTGGGTGGCGCATGATCGAGTTACATTAGCTTATGAAGCTGGACCGTATTCGTAACTAAAATTTAGTTTTTGATTGCTTCTCTCCGCATTCATTTTCGTGATGTTTATTTGGTGATGTTCGACTTAAACTCGTACTACAATACTTCAAATATTACCTGACTTGTGGAAGGTATGCTTCAATAAGGCTTTATTCGGATTTCAATTTGTATAGAAATATGTATTTTTCCCAGAAAAAAAAAACAATGGATGCGATGTACCGTTGTCGTCTATGAATTTCTCTAATCAACATCCCCACACACAGGTCGATCCAATTAGTGTCTTATTTTTACCATCAGGTATAAAAATTACACAGCGTGTGCAAGGTTGCTCCAGCTGAGGACTCATGACCCCAATCCTTGCCCAAGTCAGTGCGATTTTCTCCCCTAATTGGGCACACCACAGTGCACGTTACAGTGGAGGGTGGGAAGAACGATACATGATGGAGTTAGGCGACACATATTCGGAAGTCGCATGGAGGGAATTATGCCTCACAATCCCTATCAATGTTCTCCTGACCTTGCTTTCTCCCTGAAGGTGAAGAATATTTTAGGTTCCCCGTGCGAATGATAGCTACGAAGAACAGCTTTGTAAACAGGATGGTTCTTCTAAAAAAAGCCTTCGCCTCTGCTAATACAAGTGAGCAAATTAATGGCTACAATACCGTCAAAAACACACGCTTTTACTTGATTTTGCCTGGGAGTTTGCTTGATTTTCGCAAGTTTAGAAGCTAACTGAAATTTGCTGTCAGACCGAATAATGTATGGGATGTCAGCCATTGTCTATCTGTATTATTTTCCGTTACATCGAATACCCAACAATTTCAGAGCTTTGAACTATGGTTAGCCGGAGTTCAGAGCTTACTAGTGGTTTTAGATGTGTATTTTTATTAGTAAGCTGTGCTATGATAAATGTTCGTGTTTAACGCCCTTTCTTCAATGTCAGCGATCCACATTTAATTTAATTCACGAAAAGTTTTAAATGGAGGCGGTAATAGGAAAACTTAATCAACTAGTGGGATCGCTCAAAATTAGATTGCCTTAGATTTTCGGACTACATGAACAAACGGCTCCGACTGTGGTGCCAAATCTCGAAAGAATCGCTTTGAACTGTGTTTATTTTGTGAATGAGTTCGTTATCTATTCGGTATAGTTTAGTGCACGAATGTGAAAAAAGACCAACAGAATTTCGCGAATTATGACTGCCCGATAGACCGTAAACAAGGTTGAAATGATACTAGGCTATTGGTGAATTTTGCACAGTCTTCTCGAATCTTTTGTGAACTGGTGCACTTATTTGTTCTCTCAAGGGGAGGAGGTTAGTGCCATCGCGCCGGTGAGTTCATATGTGGCAGCCTAAAGATGTCCGTACAGCACCCTTCGCGTGGTGCCTACTGCTTGTCTTCAAAGACCGTCTTCAAAGAGCAAGGTTCATTTTCCGGACCGTGTCCGAACCTTTCGCGGCTGATAATACACTTGATTGTGTGGAATGATGTGGGAGTAGAAGATAAAATATAGGATTCTTGATTCGGTTTAACAAGAGGCTTGTATGCTGGCTGGTTGGTTTAGTAACTAAAGCAGTTATTTAAAACTGATAATCCGGTGATCGCCAATTCATCAGCATTACTGAATAGCTTGAGAGAACACCAGGATTTGTAGACGCAAGGTATCTCCGTTTTTTTGAGTTATAAAACCGCGCATTGAAACACAGGAAGTGAAAGAACCCCAGTTAAACCTCTCACCAGTGTCCTTGACTCGGTTTGAAGATCTTTTGCTGAACTTTACAGTCTGCAGACCAAAGAAGGTAATTCAAAACTCCCGAACACCTGTTCAGGTTAGAAAAAAGTTTCTATTTTTTTTGTTAGCACACAAACGTTAAGCCAAAGTGAACTGGGCAGTTTGAGGATCGACTCTCTCGAAGTTAAAATTATATTTTAACAGAAAGTCTGCAATTCCGTGAGGTTTTCTATATATCCTACTATATATATACATTATATCTTACTATTTGATGCCCTGTTACTCTCTGGTATACGTTAGCCCCTTCACAAGAAGGAAGGGACAGTTTGACTTCTAAGCATAGCCTCTGTTTTAGAGAGGATTCACTTAATAGTGGTTGTCGGAAGACACTTTTATTCTTTGTTCAAGGACAGGGCTCCCCTTAGTGGAGATTACTTTGCAAAGCAATAAAAGAGTAACCAAGTCTTGTGGATTTCAAAGTGATGCTTTCACGCTTCTGGGATCTTTCTCTTTGAGAGGTTAATGAACGCGTTAAAAGTGATCGACCGAGCTGGCCGTGGTAAAACAAATAAACAAGAAATACGCTCGCTGAGGAATAACTCGCACTATCCCCAAGAGCCGAAAAATACTTTACATATGCGACCAGCTTTCGGGCCTCTCGTCCAGTTCAGTAGATCTACATGGCTCTTTGATAAATATCATGCCGTATACAAGTTATTACTTCGCCCATAATTCACTATCGTACTCATATATTTTGTCTACATAAAATCGACTGAAGAGTGCAAACACATTATGTCGGTGCGCATACGTTAAGTACGATTAACATGATCGCAACATCTTCATGCGCTACGGGCGTTTGAGAACTAATAAAGATTTTGGTGCTCCTTCTACGGTTGAGTACAGTTCACCAGCAAGTAACAGTAAAAAAAACTTTGCCGGGTGCCTTTACGTCCTATCGCGCCCTCATTCATGCCAAGCATAGTAGCAAAGTTTCCTATGTCCAGGAGTGTGTGGTCGTCACGCACATCAACGTCTTCACAGCTCTGCCGTTAGTGAGGGCCTAGTAACGAGCTTGACACCAGGTGCATATGCATTGCACATACGAAGGGAGTGTTAAGAGGCTGGTTGGGCTAATTTATCAAATTTCAGCCGCACCAATTCCATCCGATTTTGTCACAAGGAGATCTAATGGCTTGCACTGATAGTTCCCATAGAATTGCCATAGCATCAGGAAGCAGCTATGGAACGCCAAAAGAGCATTCTTTTTGAATGCTAATATCAGAGATGCCTAACAGCACGGCAAGTGTTAAAAATATGTGGCAAATTTATGCGCTAAGAGTTCAAAGAGGAGGTCATGCAAAGTTTTGTCCAATCCATGATATTTAACAGAATTGCCGGGCTGGTAAGTTAGCTCTAGATAGCATTCTTGGATAAGAGAATATGCTATAAAGTCATCCAACATCGTGAGCCTCATCTTTTTTTAAAAAAAATGGTCAAACGGATAAGGACGTTCGAGCAGAAGAATTTATTTCCTGTGCGATCATCCACTGGACTGGGCCTGACCCTCTATGCCCATCAATAGGTTAGCGTTGTTGTCGGAAAAGTTTCGCTGATGCCAAGGTCATGTCCTCTGCAGAATACTCGCCGTCAGTGTTGAAAAGGAACTTACTGTAGTTGATCGAATCCGCTGGGATATCATCCTTTACGCTAGACATAACAATCCACGGTTTCTGCGTTGAGTGAGGGAGTTTACCTGTCAGGGAGCAGGTGAGGAAAGTGAATAAGAGGATTTTAGCCAACGACTTCATAACCATGGACCGCATGAAGTCCAAGGTAGGAAAGGTGTTTTCGAAACAAGGGTAGGAGACTGTCCCAGTAGACTGGAAAAAGTGGGTGCTAGTGCCCATTAAAAAAGGGGCTCGTGGTGGCCGTGGTAACCACCGGGGAAGCACCTTGACCGCGATCGTGACGAGGCTGTTGGCGTCATCTGTACTTCGTCGCTTTATGGTTGCTCGCGAAGTATTGACTCAAGAGCAGCAAGCAGGGTTTCTGCCTGGTAGTAGTTGCATTGATCAAATCTTCACAGGTGCTAGAAGAAAAGCCATACATACAGACGACCCACAATCTTACTATTCTTGAATTTCCAAGGCACGTTCAACTCGGTCGGCCGGTCTGTTCTTCTTGACACGCTTGCCCACCAAGGCATTCCCCAGAAATTTGTGAACACAATAAGTTCTTGTTATTATCGGACTTCCGGACGTGTGAGTAAACTTAGAGCTCTCCAAAAGCCGGCCAGCGGTGCCCACTCTCTCCATTCGTATTTAATTTCGCACGCAAGGCGGTCCTTAAAAACTCGATGTTCAAATATCCTCTGATCTGGAATATGCAGACAACATAGTTCTTACCTTCGAAGAGGAGGAGGAGACGCAGTTGTTTTAGAGGAACTGACTAAAGTCCTTTGGTTTGAACTGTGCACCCACAAAGTGTAAGGTCGTGCTCGTGGGCGTTCAGTCACTGAACACGCCCCTTACAATCCAGGGAGAGGTAATGGAAGTTGTGGAGTATTTTACGTATCTTGGTGATTGTATTAGTTCTGATTGTACTGTGACAGCTGAGACGAATGCACGAATCTGCAAGGCTCGGGTAGCAACTGCTAACTTGAGATACCTGTGGCAGGAAAGTGGTATCAAGCTGCAGTAGGGCTGTTTTTTGTATGGCTGAGACTTGGTTTGTTCGAGTCAGGCGGAACTGAGATGCCTTCAGGTGCTCTATAACAATTGTCTCAGAACCAAAACTCATTTGGTTTGGTGTCTACTAGTCCGTAAAGAGGCAGTTAGAAAGTGAATATTCGTACGTGCAACGGGAAATTTTATTGAAGAATGTGTCCAGCACCAAAAGCTACGTTGGCCAGGCTGTGTGCTTCGTATGTCAAACCATCGTTTGCCGAAGATAGCGCTGTTTTCCTCCCCCAATTTAGAGTGGGGCAAGCAGAGAGATGACCACCCCTTAACCTGCCAGAGGAGCATAAAAGCGATTACGAGACGTTTGTGTGGTGCCGGTGCTACTCGCCCACATTATAGGGACTGCGTGATCCCCACTGAGCCTGGGTGAAGACGCTGCAAGATATGGTTTCTAATCGATATCAATGGCGTTCATTTGCCAGTTTCTATTCAGACTGCTTGAATGAGCGTCTGGAGATGTAAGCCCCTCGGGAAGATCGTAGTAAGCTAGCATTAAGCCCCTTCCCTGTACACCTTTATTCTTTTCTTCACAGTAAAGCTTTCAAATAATTCATGGTTGTACGGTAGCAACAGTGTTGAACACTGATGTCATGCTGTCGATGCTGCTGCTAACGCTGATGATGATGATGATGATGATGGTGATGATGATGATGAAGAGGATGATGAGTATGATGTTACTGTTAATGTGAATGAAGACAGCATTTTCAAAATCCGTTATATATATATATATATATATATATATATATAACAGATCAAAACACATAAGAACAGTCAATCTGGACAAAGACTGATAATCAATGGTTGCAAATAAATGTAAGCGAGCAGCTGTACGGCCACTCACAGCCACTCACTATAGGTACAGTGCGATTCTACACACGAAATTTGAGAATTATAATACGGATATCGACCGATTCTGTGACAAATGTATTTTCACTTCTTACAAACACTGACACCTCGAACTGTGTTCCGCAAGCTGACCGAAAAGTTGTCGAAATGTCAATCACGTCTCTGGTGTCAGAAGCGTGGGTTCGAATATAACAGTCTACGGATCATCAGTTTCTACCTGATGGACGGACGGATTATGCTCAGATACGCGCCTTGACTCTCACTTCGCCATTTGGCCGATGTGGTCGTTCTCGGAGGGGTAGATTTTCATTACCACGGGACAGAGTTCTTACAATTTATATTGCCCTTTCAGCTATCTGATAACAAATGGACATTTGAAGGCTGCATTTGGGCATGCGATATAAATTACTCTTGCAAAAATCTTTTATAGTCTTCAATTTAGCACTGCACTAAGCATATCATCTTTGGACGGAAGATGGTGGCAAATTACCTTCTGTTTTACTCCCTATATGGTTTGTTTTGGAGGTCTGATGTTTGAACTGTTCGGTAGAAGTGGCATAGTGTGTTTTTTCTAATAAAAAAAGCTGGGCATCTCTGTTATCACAGCCCATTCGAGAAGTACGTCTGGGACCTCGAAATCTAGACATTCGTTCCAGTCTGCAGCCTACGGGAAAGCCTATGATTATCAGACTCCCTCTCAGCTAGTGACATCTGTTTGAAAGGGGATTGATGAAAAGTGGATAATGACGTGCATTATTGTAGTCCACAATTAAACTGGTGTTCATTGGGCTTCAATATGGTTAATTTTTTTCTTCAGTGTGATATGTTGTTTGCTGTTGTAGTGGTCTACTTCGCCAAGGTGACCATTAGCATAACATTTTCCATCCGTTTTTTTTGACATACAAGACATTTGGCCTTTCTTTTAGACCTATCATAGTTCCACTTCTTAGACAGTAAACGCTGACGAGTCTGCATTCAAAAGCAAATCGATACGGCGGTTTTGAATTCTATTCAGGCTTCTCTTCTGTTTCCGTTGGCTAGCCATGGTGAATAAGGAACGGTGGGTGAAAAATTGGTATTCGTTTAGGGTGCACGTGGCTTCACCGTGTTGAAACCCAGCTTCTGCATGACCTGAGGTGTAAAAGCCTTCCTAGGAGTAAGTAAACAGTGCCGAAATATTAGCGACATGGGAACCGCTACGTGGACTTGTTATCTGAAGGCATTTTACTCTCTTACAATCTCCTCCGACTGCACTGTTCATTGGATTGTTGCGGTTCTAATTATTTCTTTCTATTTTAACTCTATCAACACTCGTCTTTTAGATCCATATTTAACGCAGACATATCTCGCGTGCCTTCCATCTCTACCCTATCGAAAATAACGAAGGTGCAAGATACTGATAAGTTCTTTCACCGTCGATTCTGCTCCCTTTTTTCCGTGAACTATCAGTAAGCCCGGCGCGATCGCCGTGTCACTCAATTCATAGACCCACGTCAGGCTCTGCTTTACAACAATATCGGAACACATTGCAAGTATGTTTACGCTCTCCCTGCCACTGGATTAACTTTATAACTTATCAGGGTGTGGGAGAAAAACCAAATCTTTCTTATGACTCAATTCTTCGAACAAGATGACGTTGACATGTTCAATATTGTGTGCACGAACATGTTTCATTCGTACAGCCACTGCATACGGGCCCGGAAGAGGACACCTGCAGAGTTTGGCCATTCATTATTGTATAATCGGCCCACAGTAGGTTGTGTGGCCGTGGTTCACAGCTGGAAGTAAACACAGACGTTTGATTCACGTTCCCGTTTAGCTTGCAGGCTTAAGACCGTTTTATCAATCGCCTCTTTATTCAGGGCACGTGCAATGTAGTGTGGAATGTCGGTTACTTTTTTAATTGGTCATTGACCAGGAAAACTATTACAAAGTACGGAACACGACCTCTCCGTGAGTTTTAAATCTTGAAAAATGGAAAGTGTTAAAAAAAGCAGGTGTGTCCTTCTAACTCATAGAGGTTTTTGCGAAGGCTGTGCTCGAAGGTTAAGCCCACTATGCCTTTCTTCACCCACCCTGCCTTCACAGCTTCAGGCCAACGCAAAGAAGGACGGAGTGCATCAGTCACTTACACCGTTTACTGCCGTCAGTGCTGGGGTGGATGCACACACTAAGGCTGTTTCTCAACTTGGCAGTTATTCACAAACCTATGGCACAGTTTCACGAAGTCAACTTTCGCAGCTTCAGTCGCGACAGTGGACACGATGAAATGCAAACGAATCTGTTGGATATTTCTGCCTGTGTGCCGTCGCTTCTTTTTTCCAGCCCATCTATTTTTGCCTGATCATCAGTTGTAGTCCGTCAATTCCATTACTAGTATACTGGTGTGGATAATGTTTGCAATTCTTAGTCAACACTTTTGAGCAAATACAAACCAAATCCGCAGTTTATGCAGCTTGAGTTCGTGTTCTACTCGTCTACCCCACCTGCTGGTAGTTGCATCAGCGTTGTGGAAATTTTCTAACTATGAGGCCTCTTTACGCCCGATAAGGTAGCAAGTTCACTATTTAAGGTTTGAAATCATTTGGAAGGTAACTTTGTTCAGGTTATATACACGCTAAGTTTTGCACCGAGGAATAACGAGGCAGACGCTGGTGGTCTTGGAGACCCATAGAGCGGGATGTCGAGTGAAACAGCTGAAGAAATCACGATCATTACCAGCAACAGGATACAACGACTGTCTGTCTTCCTTTGTTTCAACACACTGATTTCATGATCCGTACTCGCATGCTGACGAAATGACTGTTTTCTTGGGGATTTTCAATAGTTGGACTATCCTGTGCAAAGATAGAGGCACAAATCTGTACTGATTTCGTGGGATATCTTTATAAACAGCTGAAACAGGGATGTCAATTCGTTGAAGGGACTGAAAATGGCTGTCGTGGGTGTTTGGTGGAATCTGACGGTAAAGTTTCTACATAAATTTACTGTTAGTATGTGAAAACATCGCCTGGTTTGTGACGGTATACGAATGAAGTCGCGTACCTTAAGGTGTGCTCAGTTACGCACTGCTCTGGACTGTGCGTCTTTAGTTGGTTCGTTTCTAAAAGGATGTTTGGTCAATTCAGCACACAAATCTAATACGCTCTAACCACCTTTGTGAAACTGCGCTCCTTGTGCCATTCAAACAGACAGACCAAGGGTAAGGTGGACTAGGTGGTTGCGAGATATGTTCTCTTTAATTTGCGACCTGAATGCCTTCGGTTCTCAATCACCGATGCTACGATTTTTAAACCACTGCCTGGTCTGAAGGGAGAACTGGGACCAAACAGGACAAAAACTAGCGAAATTTACTCGTTTGCAACACCATCCCGACAACTGACTTCGGGGGACTGAGCTGGAACCCGGCTGTATCTCTCGTTTATGACGTTTTCAAACAAAACCATTTTTTTGCGAGTGTATTTCGCTAATTTCGTCCAATTTGGGTTCAAGTAGAACATAAGGTTGACGGAAACTCGGGGACCGCGCTTACCTGGTGAGACCCAAGAAGGACAAAACCGATCGTGGGCTGTCGAAGAATTTTCAACAACTTGTGAGTAGTGTACTAGGACAAAACTGTTCGCATGGGTGGATTGGGAACGTGACAAAAGGCGAATCACATAGACATAAAAATGCAGACCAACTGTTGGTTTCCATTTGATCGACTACGCACACACAAATTCACGATTAGAGCCACCGACTCGCTGGCTGTTTACGACGCATCGATCCCTGAAACTGGAACGTACTCGGTATCCCGAAGGTCAGAGTAATGGAACCTTCCTTGATATCAGATGGAGATAACTAAATGGCAATGAATGATCAATAATAGGCGTAGTCGGATAACCAAACTTCAGCTAAACTTAATAAGAAGGGATCAGTTCAATCATGTCATAAGTCCTAGTAATACCGGATATCTGTTATTGGCTAACACCGATAAATCTGATTGATAATGCAAGCAAGTACCTAATAATATGCACAGCTGACGGTCAGCCTTGATCCCACAATCTAGAAGAGGAAAGATGTGTGACAGTGTTTTGTGTCGTTGCAAATGAACCTTTCCAACTGTAGGTGCGCTGCCCAAGAATCATCACGGCACTGCAAATTTTGTATTTTACATAAATCACCCGTTTTGATAAGTCATATCTTTCACTGTTCTGCGAAATCAATTTGTGATGTGCCAAACAGCGGTGCTTTCTGATTACTTTCTGTCCTTTACTCCTTTGTTGGCACCAGAAACGCAGTTTGCAACGTATCTCACTGCATACGGATTAGTTGTCTTTTGACGGGGAGGCGCTCTACTGAGCTATTCTGTTTATAAAATTTGAGCCACTGTATTTCATGACTAGCGATTTGTTTTATTAGTTCCGTTAAGCTCACTCATTGTCAGGGAAACACGATTAATTGTTGGATACCAGTTTCTGCATCATATGTCAAACAGCTGGTCAGGCAGAAGAACTCAATGTTACATATGAATCTGGAATGAAGTTATAGCAGAGCTAACTCTGAGGACAATGAATGGATTATGGTTGGGCCAGTTGACCACACAACCGCCATCCACATGGGACCGATCATTTAGGTAGCGAAACATGATAAGATTGCTTGACCAGCCATGTTTTGGAGGAGAGTTTCTTTGACAAGATACTTAAGGATTCAGTCCTTTCTGATGAAGGGTCATAAACAGACTGGCTGCTCGACTGGTTCCTCGCATTTTCATGACCCAACAGGTGGCAAATTGTGGTTTCCAAGTCAGTTGAAGCCACTGCAACTCACAAAGTAGAAACTAGAGCAAGATTTTCCTGGCTTGAGTGTGACTTCTACAGAAGGTTAGAAGAGTCATTTTCTTCTTGTAAAACGGCTTGTTCTGCGAAATGTGGTGAGAGTGACAAGCACTACTGTGCTTTCCACAATGTGGCCATTACTCTGCGACTCCTCACAACGGTAGTATGTATTGTTTAGACGAGTAAACAACCCAATACAACATGTATAAAACACCCTTCTAAAAGTCTCCATTAAAAAGTTGTACTGCCTCTCCATTAATTCTCCACGAAAGCACAGCTTCTCATTGTATCCAATGTGGAATAGGGCACATCGTTATTTCACGAGGTTTAAGACCATAAACTACGGTATTGGGACGACTCCATATTCTGGTACAAAATGTTCCACTAATTGGCGACCGGAAATCCACCTGCTGCCCATGTAACAGAGAACCTAAGGACTAAGCTGGCCTTCAAAAATCCGAATTAACGTTGTTTTCGCTAACCACGAGCTTCAGCTGGATGTAGCAACTTTGCCCTAGCATTTAGCCTTATTCCAATAGGCTACATTAGACGGTACTGTTTCAACGACTGATGTATCTGGGTGTCCGCAGTTAGAAATTGATGCGATGTGGAGGGTCCGCCTGTGGGGGGGGGGAAACAACTGGAAAAACTGTATGAATATACGAGGCTGAATAATGTTGAAGTTTCGTGTCTTACAGCTGGACTCAAAACAATGGCGATCGCGTAATCCCGGGGAAGTCAGAAATAATAAATGAACTAATATTATTCCCCACTTCTTAGGATTACACAGTACTAAGTGGAAACAACTGGGTGGTTTTCTGACACAGTAGGTCGCTAACATGCACTCTTTCAGGTGTGAGACAGAAAGCTTGGAGTATGGGGAGCGAGTTGCCCATCAAATACTTGGTGGTTCACTATTACACTTGACTTTCTCATGCTCGTGTCTGGGATACGGCAAGGTCACAGTTACCCAACTGTGATGCTTTGGTCGGGATTTATAGCAACTATGATCAATGAAGTGCAGCAGTTGGCAGTTTTTTAATGTGAATAATTCCTATGAAAGCAACAATCTGTGGAACTATTAACTGTTTGACTAGGGTAAACCATTTCAAAAACAGAATACCTCCACTTGTTAAGATAGCTCACTGACTTGTAGGCTGATGAGGACTGATACGCGGCCGAAAAAATGCTTTATTAAGTCAGGAAAGGGAACACTTCAGTTCAATGCCATGTGCAATCTCCCAGTTGTGGTGAGCTTGACTTTTCTCACTGTTAGCCTTGACTTAGACTCAACTTGAAGTTCAAGATTTGTGAGCACACACTGTTAAGCAATTTACATGTACTCTGAGTACACAAGTTTGGGGGCCTGACAGAAATTATAGTTTTCCGCCAAAGTGAAAACATTGGAAAACTTAGCGGGAAACTTAGTGCGACCTCAAGTCAAGAAATGAGGATCCCAAATGTTTGTGGAAAGACTGAATTTTCTAACCTATGAAATGAAATTTCAACGATACAATAACAGATCGAGGTCAATACAGCCAAAACAAATCAATCTTAACATAGAAATTGACTGTATTCGGAAAGTCAGTTTTCCATTCGGCGAATGATGAGCTCAGTCTTGTGTTCTATAAACACAATTATAAAGTATGAGTACTAGGGTGGTTTAAGTGTTAATCTTATCAGGCATGTTTTCGGCTGTCTGCTCAGACTATATATTTGAGGAAGGAGACTCGATTACTGGTCACGTGTTGACTCGAACCGGACTTGCAACTGTGGCAAAAATGTCCATACAACGCTTGTCAGAGTATCGAGGTAATAAATAATTCTTTTTGGAGTGGCTATGGCGTTTGAGAAAAATGAACAGTACAGTATATTACTATCACTGTGGAGTTCCAGACAGAGAGAATACGAAAATGCCCAGAAGAGTAAGGGGAAGTGATACGTTACGATGCTAGTCAATTATCTGGTGTTACTTTAAAGTTCGGTATAATTACACCTCCCTCTTTTGAACTTTGAAACTGAACGTGTTCTTTCACTCCTGTCAGACATTTCCTCGTTTTAAAACTTCACCAGTACAAGAAGAAACACGCGGACCGAAGAGCTTCATCCATTTTTTTCTCTTACCACATTTTATTTGGATGCTTTGTTAATGACTGCCTAGAGGGACCCTCGCCAACTGCGATGGAAGTAAACCAGGGTGGCTTGAGAGGAGCCACTAGTCCACATGTGGAAACCTTCAACCAGTATAGAAGGAGAAGACGGTGATGAAGAATTCTGTATTGTACCCCGGAGATTTAATGACTTTGCTTGTGTTGGATACTGGCAAAAGATTTTTGGTTAAACTTCATAAAACGGCTGCTGAGAAGCATTTGGGAAATAGTTACAACCCAGCACCTCCACACAGTACTTCTGATAAGAGATTGTGCTCGAAAGGTAAGAAGGCCCATCCAAACAGACTGGGTTTTCACATGTCATTTGCCTATTGTGCTCTGTTTATTTACTCCGCTCGTGAACTTTTAGGTAAATGAGTCCAGAATGTTAACTTACTGGTATATTTCTGCCTTTGGATAAAATTGGGTTGATATTCTCAGTGAAGTTGACTTCGAAGTTTATTTACCTAAGGAATCTGATCC